GGCGCGCCGTTCCCGGAGCGGCGGGGGAGGATGGATGTGCTGAGGCGTGCGGAGCGGAGCGGGGCGATGCGCGGGGTCCCGCCGGTGTGCGGGCACCGCCGGCCCTAGGGGCAGCTCGGCTGCAACCGCTGCCATGAGCCGCGGCCCCCCCAGCCCGTCCTCCCCACCCCGGGGGGGGAGCCCCTTCCGGCAGCCCCTCGGCCCCGGTTGGGGGGATTTGGACATGCTGCGCTGCCCCTCCTGCCTCCTCCTCCTCTGGGAGCCGGTGACCGTGTCGTGCGGTCATTCGTTCTGCAAATCGTGCCTGGGGGGGGCGGCCGTGCCCGCCCGCTGCCCCCTGTGCCAGGAGAGGCTGAAGCTGCTGGGCGTCGGGGCGGCGAGGTGCAACGTGGTGCTCTGCGGCCTCCTGGAGAAATGCGTGGAGCGGGAGAGCCGGCTGGCCTGGCTGGTGACCCGCGTCCGGGACCGTCTCACCCGTGGGGACACCCGGGAAGCACTGAGGATGGTTCAGAAGGGGGTCGAGCTGGGTAAGCACCACCGGGCCCTTGGGGGGGGGGCGGGTTGGGGGTTGCGGATGCTGGGTGCCAAGGGTCAGCCCTACAGCCGAGGTGGGGATGCTCCAGCTGTGCCTCTGGAGCAGGAGGGGACCAAGGTGGGTCACTTTGTCCCAGCATCGCAGTGTCCTCTGAGCTTGTATGGTCCAGAGCTGGGAGACCCGGGAAGCTGGGAGTGTTGGAAAAACAGGGCTGGTGGAGATGGGGAGTGGGGATCCAGCTGCTGGGCATTTCTCCTGTGTCTGCAAGTGTCTCGCAGTGATGGGAAGGGGCTGGTGGCTGGATAAGCCCCGCTGCTGATCCCGGGGTCCACATGCTTCTGGTGTTAGGAAGTGGCCAGAGAGGAAAGAGCAGCAAACAGCTCCTTGCATCTTGCCACCCGGCAGTATTTCAGGGTCAGAGGAAGAGCTCTGCCTGGGGGGGGGTGGCCATTATGTAAAGTGGCTGGGCCTTTTCCAGTCCGGGACAGACGCGTCCTCACCCCCAGAGGCTGGCAAGGACACAGCCTTGGCTGAGCTCCTGTACCAGCCCCATGGTGCAGGGCAGCCCCCCCCCCCCCTCCAGCTTTCCCCCCGACCCCCTTCTGAAGCTGTCTCTGGCGAGACATTTGCCTGCAGGGTCAGGATCGGGCCCAGGGAGGGTTGATCTGCTTTAATGTGTGGCTGTAAGTGGATTTCTTGGAAAGTAATGCTTAAATAAAAAGGGTTATACAAGACGTCTGGAGCAGGGGGTTGGGGCGATGGAGGCAGAAGGTCCTTTCTCCACTGGCGTTTCTATGACAGCAGTCAGCTCTCCTCCCGCGGCGCAGACACTTATTCATCGCCCGCTGTGAGACAAGTGCCAGAGGTTCAGGGTTTGCTTGGAACTGAAGGGCTGAGCAGGCTTGGCCGATCCTGGTGTTGGCAGCAGAAAGCAGGTCCCTTTATGCAACCTCCCGAGGCATCCATTCTTCAACACAAACGCACGTGCACGGCTCTCTAGTACTGCCTGCCTTATTGCTAGGCTTTGTCTGAGCGGGGTGTGCGATTATTTATCTCTTTTTTAAAAAGCCTGAGTGAGTGTAAAGAGGAAAAGTTGCAAGCTTTGTCCTCGGTCTTCCCTGTGTGCCCCATTCCCTGAAGGACGGGGGGAGTCTGGCTCAGGGCACCAAGGAAACGGCAATCCCAGCCCCAGCTCCTGTAAACCCGTGCTTGCTGGTGCTGCTCACGCTCAGCCACGTGGGTGGTGCTTTTGGGATGTGTTTTACAACTCCTGCAGCCTGCAGACCGCTTTCAGGCTGCGCAACTTCTTACAGGCTCCCCTTTGCTTTCATACAAAAAGACTGATAAATGTTCAACCCACGAGAATGGGGTTGTATTTTTTTGTGGCTCAGCATCGCAGGATGGGCCAGGTGGCAGTGCCCCGCTCCACACCCTGCAGAGCATGCTCTTCACTTGGGAGAATATAAATTGTCAACTTTTTATCTTCTGTTTTTTCAAAGTGAACAAAAAAATGCACTGTAACGCGTAACACAGGAGGCCTCCCAACATGCCTGGAGCCAGGAGGCTGGGGAGCACTATCAGTCACTCATCAGCTGCTGGGGCCGCCAGCTGGCTTACGTCCCTAATGTCTAATGATATCATAGATCAAAAATAGCTGCAGCAGAAGAGAAACACAGGATTCCTAGCCCCGTTTTACATGTCTTGTTTTCACCAAATTGGTCGGTTTATTGCTGGGTTATGCAAATGTTCGAATGCGTTTTTGCCCACACGGAAAATAAGCCTCTAGACTTTGTACCCGTGTGTTCAGCTCTACCTGTCCTTAGGGGCTGGAATGCTTCGTCACTGGATGCGTGCTCATGGGACAGGGTGCTGAGCAGCCAGGTTTCTATGTTTCTTTACTTGAGCCATAAGATCCCAGCTAACATTATAAATGAAGATAAACACTGAGGGATCAGGTGTTGCTCTGCTGCACAGCTCAGCATGGCCAGGGTATCGTGGTGCAGGAGTGGCTGCTGCTCCCTGGGTTGTGGTGGCACCTTGAGCCCCAGGCAGAGAGCAAAGTCTGCCTGTGCTCTGCCCTGGGCATGGGGACAAAGGGAGGCGATGGCCATGGCAGAGCTTCCTGCTCCATGGTGGGCGCCTGGGCATGGTGACGGTGGAGGCAGGCAGGGGTGCGGGCAGACACCAGCTTCCTGCACCCTGCTGTCACAGGGCTGCTAGTCCAGACCTGCAGCTCCCTGGCAGAGCTGCATCAGCGCCGGGTTTGAATCGGGGCAGGAGGAAAAGCTGCCGGGGTTGGGAGTGCAGGAGGCATCATCATCAGTGATGTCTCTCAACGATCGCTGTTTGGCTGCTGCCCACCCCCCTGGACCCAGCTCGCCCCAGTAGGAGCTGCTGGGCCTTTAGTGGTGCTGCCAGTCCCCCTTTGCCATGGTAAATGCAGCACCAGGGGCTGCAAATGGTGTCGAATTCATGATGCAGGTCTGGCCTCAGAGCCAGTGTCCTGCTGGTGGTGGTGTGGTTCCATGACACAGAGCTGGGTGCAGGGACCCGTTGCCCACTGGAGAGCCAGCAGCGCGATGGATGTAGATCGCCTTCACAGCAAGCTGTGATATAACGGGGTGGGTCTGGGAATCCTCCACAGATCAAACCCACAAACACAACCACACCTGGTTACTCCATGAGCCGCACTGTGTGGGCTTTCGGGGTGCTGCTTGCTCATACTCCCCGACATCTCCCACCCTGCTTCCCTTGCTGGTGGTGCTGGTAGGAAGGGAGGTCTTTAGGGGTTTTTTCTAAGGCAGGAGAGTAGAGGGTCTCACTGCCTGTTATTTAGGAGCAGGTGGAAGCGTGTGGGGTGCCCAGCAGTGTGACACTTAGGGCATCATGGCCAGCAGCACCTGTGGGAGCTGTGCCCCACCACCACCACTGAGATCCCATCGGGGACATCTCACTGATGAAGAACTGGATGCTCAGTTCTCTACCTCCTTTTTGGGAAACGTCAGCCTTTTCTCCTACTTGGAAACCCTGAGTGATGTGATGGGAGCAGATCCTTGCACCCCCTCGGTTTTCCCTCTGCCCCTGGAGAGTGGCAGCAGCCAGGTGGGTCCGGGAGGCTCCCCGGTGCTTTGGGATCACAGGTCTCTGCAGCTGCAGGCTTGTTTGGTAACATGTTATTGTGACTCTGCTGGGTGAATCACACCACATCCTGTGGCAACAGCCTCTGTTGTTAGTATGTTTATGGTACAGCCTTTTTGCTGCATCCCCAAAAGATGAACGAGAGCCTGGATCCCAGCGTGGCTGATCCTCAAGGCAGTGGGTGGCCCCCTTAGCTGAGGGTGTTCGAAGGAGATGGGGGAAAAATGAAGGAGAACGCCTCAAAGAGTTTAAAAGTAGATATTTAGGCAAAATAATTCCCTTGCTGGTGCTTATGAGGGCAGTGACTCCTGCTAAGGAGGAGGGCAGTGGCTGGCTGTGCTCAGAGCGGCAGCGGTGCTCTGTCCCACCATGGTGGTGTCTCCCTGGCCTCATCCAGCCCTGCTGCCCCACCATGGACAGACTCATCACACGAGTGACGACATTTCTCTTTCCAGCCCCAGATGCCAGCTCCCTGCGGCTGTGCCGGGCAGAGGTGTTGGTGGCACTGGGACAGCATCCACAGGCGCTGGAGGACCTGGACGCTGTGTGCAGGGCTGAGCCTGGAGAGCATGAGGTGAGTGGATGGGAGGCCCCATCAACCAGCTGTGGCTGGAGCCAAATCTTACTGTATAGGAGCAGTTTCTCCCTTTGCAGAATTCTCCTAGCCGTTGGAGGAGAAATCCTACTCAGAAATACATTTGCCAAACCCATTAAGTTGCAAATATGGGCTGCTTGTGCTGCGTTGCACTAACAGGACGGGTCCAGCACCACGTCCCTCCTTGCTTGTGTGCAGGTGGTGGGGGCATGTCGCCGTGCTGGTGCACAGGATCACATCTGGGGGCTCAGGGAAGGGTTGGCCAGAGGCTGAGCTGCCCTTGGAGGAATCAGCCCTGGGAGCTCACTTTCTGATTTATGAAGCATTCGTGGCAATAGTTCCGTGGCTTCAGAGGCAGAAGCCCTTGACTCCTACTCTAAGTCTCTGTAGGGTTTTGTTGCTTGGCTTTTGCAACGTCTGCATTTTGGGGGAGTCCTGTTTTATGGGTACCTGGATGTGGGTGGACCTGTCAGACATCTGACATGGTGGAGCTGTGGCCTGAGGTGGGAGCAGGCAGGAGGCTGGAGGGAGATTCCCTCAGGGCTCGCATGGGAGCTGAAGGGGCATCTGCTCAGCTGGTCACTGTCTCTGCAGTCACCACAGGTTTTTCTGCTCTGCAGGCCTTCTTCAGGAAAGGGAAGGTGCTTCTGGAGATGGGACAGAGAGCTGAAGCCCTGCTGGCATGGGAACACTGCCTGACGCTCAGTCCCCATTTCCACCCTGCTCGGAGAGAGATGGAGAAGGTGCGTGGGCCATACCGTGGTAGCATCCACACGATGCCCTTGTCCTCTGAAGAACTTGTATCTGTCTTCAACATGGTTGTGCTGCTCTGACCAGCACTGGGATGAAGGAAAGTCAAGTCCTGGTCCAAGAGCCTTCCCTTCATGCTGATGCAGGCTCACCCATGGGGAAAACTCCCCTTCCTCAGTCCATATCTCTGAATCTCAGCTTTTTTAGTGTTTAGATGCTGACAAGGCACAAGGTGGGCTTGGAGGCGTAGTCACCCAAGGCAAAGTAGCCAGCTGAAAGCTATTACTGGAGAGCCAGTATCTTTTCCACAGGTGATTTCAGGCCAGCACTCACCCATGTAGCAAAGTACCATCACAGATAGGGCCTCCAGCAGTGTCCCTGGCATGGGGACTTCATGCCATGAGAAGACACTTGCTCTTCAGGAGGGAAAGGGCAGGGGAATAAGGAATGACCTTGTACCCTGCACAGCTCGCTCCCTATGTTTTCTGGGTGACGGAGAACATGGGTCCTAGCCCTTAAAATAGACCTTTTTGTTTGCTGCCTCATGCTGCTTCCTTCCTTCTGCAATGCTAAGGCATTTGTTTGATGGAGAGCTCAGCCAGAGCTGGAACAAGTAACCATGATGTGCCCTGTGGTGAGCAGGAGGCTGCTTTGGGGCAAGAGGGAGCCTGGGAGCCCACCCACATCCCTGCTTCCTTCTCCCAGCACCCCCTGAGCCCCGCTTTCTCCTTGCAGATCCTCATGCAAGAGGATGCTCCTCGGCCACGCACAGCTGCTGTCCACCCAGGTGATGCTCACCAAGGCTCGACTGGTCCCCAGGTGGATGGAGGGAGCCCTACGCTCCCATCCTCCTCCCCTCAAGCTCAGGTAAGAGAGCCTGCAACCATCTGAGGCTGTGATGGGACTTAATGTTCCTTTGGGACATCCCAAATTGGGGTTTTCCAATGATGGGAATGGAGGTGTGGTAACAGGAAGTTGTGCAGGACCATAGCCACCTGCACGTGGTTGTGTGCTGGGATGAGAAGCTGCAGGTAGCAGAGGGTGGGAGAGCAAAGACACCATCAGAGCTGATGCTGTGGGCGCTGGGGAAGGAGAGGAGGCTCTTTCTGTCTCCATTCCTCTCCTAGTTTTATTCTGGAATACTTTTGGTAAGATTTTAGACTCATTGTGTTTAAAACACTCAAGTCACATTACATTCAGAAAAAAACCCACAAAACCAGTCAGCTTTAATGTGGTGGTTTTTTTCATGCGAACCCCACATTTGAGAACAGTTCAGACCTTTAGCAGCTCTTAAGGAAAGCTCATCTTTTGCTCTTTGCGTTCTATAGAGGAATTTGGGAGGTTTGTTGAGGAGGGAAAATCAGAAAAAATGTGCTCAGACACACCCAAATGCCAGGTGGTACATCTACACAGACTAAACTCATGTTTTAACCAGGAGATGAGCAGGGATGTCTGAAGGCCACGCTCTCCTGCTGTCCCTCAGATGACAGATGTTAATGTGCAACAACACACTAGGAAAGCTCCTGATGCCATTGGGCTCAGTGGGATGGATGGGACGGTATATTCAAAAGGAGGAAAGGTTTTGGGCTCAACTTCGTCTTTGCTGTGTCTAGGACCAGGAGGGAGAGCTGGTGGATGGCAGAGGGGATGCTGGGTCTGAGCACGGCCAGGGGACCACCACCCTTTCCCAGCCGGGACGACAGCGGGAACTGGAGACTTCATCAGAGAGGCAGGACCGTCAGTTGGTAGGTGAGTGTCATAAAGGTACCAGGATCTCATCTGATGCTAAATACTTGTTTAAAATCTCTTTTGGCACTGAAAGCTCAGTGCTGGTGTGTGTGTGTGCCAGCTCAGCGAGCTGATGTCCCGGGGGCACCCCATGGGACAGCTCTGGCCAGCACATTTGCTGCTTCTCATATAGGTGAGGAGGATCTGATTTTCCTGTGTTGAGCAGGTGAACGTACACCAAACCTTTTGGTCTCATTGGTGAAAGGTTCTTGCTAAAGCCAGACATCCCTTGTTCCCTGTGGAGCCTGTGTGGAGCCAGGGAAAAGCTTCCTTTGGTTCCCATGGGTTTTAGATCAGAATTAAATTCCTTTGCGATGCACTCAGTGTGTCACATGTTGAGGGAAGTGGCATCTCCATTGGCATTAGCTTGTCAACAGCATGCAGTCAGATGGCCTCCATGAACGTGGGTTTGCATAAAGCAGTGATGATGCTTCATGGCCGGTGTCCAGAGGCCTCCATCTGGGAGCTTCTTAGGTAATTTCATCTCCCAGTGCCTCCGTTTCCCTGCCTGCAGGAGGAGGTAGGGGCATATTGCCATCCTCTCCCATGAGACCCACTGATGTAAAAGCCATGGATAAACATGAATGGGTTAATAGAGGGGTTTATGTGGCATTTCTTAGCAGTTTTGTTTTTAACTTTCAAAGCACTTTGTGTAACAGTTAACTACTTACACCTCCGAACAAGGTCAGAGAGCAAAGATTAATTTTCAGTATTGAAATGGGGGCTTGTCATCTCTTCCCTTCTCTTTTGCCACTAGATAACGAAGAGGAAACAGCAGCAGCAAAGTGTACCCAGCCGTGCCTCGGGGAGCTGCTGAGTGTGTCTGACTTGGAGTGCTCCCTCTGCATACGGTGAGTTCTCCGGCGGGAGAGCTTTTAGGATGAAGAATTAGCACCTGCTGAGTTTTCTTTCCTAGCGTGGATCTTTCTTCACATCTTAATAGCCAACTCAGTCCCCAGTCCTGCTGAGAGGCAGGTTTCAGTAGAGATAAAGAGATAAGAGGGGAAGGCAGGGGCACGCTTTGCCCTGCCAGGCTGTAAGAACTCGGATTGTTAGGTCTGTATCGCTTGGGACACCGGTGTGGAGGTGGGGGATGTTCAGCAGGGTCAAAGACTGAAAGTGATGTTTGCCCTATTTAACTGCAGGCTGGAACAGGAAGGTGTTGTCCCGGGTAAATACCATCCCTGATGGGGATGTTGCCAACCCAGAGGGGAGCATTTCTGAGCTCTGTGCCTGCTGGAGGTGGAAAAGGGGACAGGGCAGAGCCTGTGTCCCTCTACTGGCTCAGGGCTGGATTAGGGCTGGCTCAGGGCTGGATGCTGCCACAGGGCATGCTGAAACCAGGCTGTTATTTCTGGCGTGTCCCAGGACCTTGAGCAGTTGTGCAACCAGCTTCTGGCAGAAGGCTGGATGTTGCACTGCCAGACATGCAAGATGGTCAAGGTCTCCTGTGCGGTGGCTTTGTCCAGATCTGGGCATGAAACAGGGGAAGGACACATGGGAGAGAGAGATCAAGATCTGAATTAGGTGAATTTAGGTCTCTTCTGAGAGTGGGGAGACATAATGTTTAGGAGGAGCCAGGGCTCAGTGCTGAGCAGGGCTTTCCTGAGAGCTTCATTTCATTTCTGGTCCTGGAGCTCCCTGTGAGCAACCCAAGTGCTCATTGCTGGCTCTGCTCTTGGAGCAGGGGAGGAGGAGGCCCTTTCCCATTGCTGCCTTTTGGACCACACACCACTGCAGTGTCTGGGGAACCACAGCCCTGCCAGGACCGAGGGATGCCATGTGTGTACTGATGGGGTCTGTGGGCATCCCCCAGGGTCGAGGAGCAGTGCTCAGGCCTGGGACAGTTTTCTTCTTACATCATTGTGCAAGTCCAACAGTCTGAGCCCAGACTTCTAATTAAAGGAATAGTCCAGTTAGGAACCTTTATGCCTAATTAACAGGAGTTACGAGCAAAGCTTAGCCAACGCAGCGTTAGTGAAGGTGAGTTCCGTAGCCATGGGCTACCAGGGCTTGGAAGACACAGTGAAATAGCTTTCTGTAGCATTGTATCCCTTCAGCATCAAATGCAGCTTTAGTGAAGGTGAGTTTCATAGCCATGGGCTACCAGGGCTTGGAAGACACAGTGAAATAGCTTTCTGTAGCATTGTATCCCTTCAGCATCACTGTCTTCAGTCCAGAACGCTGGTGAAGGCAGCAGACTTCCTTTGAAATGGTAGGAAAGGACATGGGAAATGTCTTCTACCTGCTGGAAGCGAAAGCTCTTGCTCTCAGCGAGGTGATTCAAGGAAGGTGCAGGTACAAGGTTGGGGATAGCCAGAAGCTGCACCCATGGCTTTGCCCGCCCTGACCTGCTCAACCCTTGCAGCACCAGCCTAGACCTCTTGCAAGTTCCTGAGAGCTTTGTGGAACCCAAGCACCACAGGGCTGAGACCAGCTGGGGTTTCCAAAGCGGACCCTGATCTGCTTGACCCTTGCAGCACCAGCCTGGACCTCTGCAAGGTCCTGAGCACTTTGTGGGACCCCAGCACCATGGGGCTGAGACCAGCTGGGGTTTCCAAAGCGGGGTGCTGAGCCAGGCCTGGGAAACGATGGCTTTGAAGGCACCCAGCCCTGTGAACAGAGGCTCTGTGAAGTCTTTCTGCTGGGCTTACCAGTGCTCCTTACCCCTTGTTGCTCTCTGCAGTCCATTAACTTTGGTCTCTTTCCAGGATGTTCTTTGAGCCAGTGACAACACCGTGTGGGCACACCTTCTGCAAGGAGTGCCTCGAACGCTGCCTGGACCACCGGCCAAACTGTCCCCTCTGCAAACAGAGCCTGAGAGAGGTGAGGGCATGTGTCCCATGGGATGGAGCATGCCCAGAGCTGGGGTGGGACAGTGTGATGCTCTTACTTCAGCAGCTCCCTCGCACGGCGGTGTCAGGCCCACTCATGTGGGAATGACCAGACAGTTGATAATTAAGACCAAGAGATTCATTTCCACAAGATGCCACAGTGATTTAGTGAGATTGTAAACAGGACTGAGAGGTAGGGAGAGAGAGAGATAGAAAAAAGCGAATGCTAATTACTTTTAAAAATGGAAATGGATGGAAAACCTGCTAGCCTGGAGATTTGATTTAATCTTTAATGAAAAGGGATTCGGGTGAAACCGTCAGGGAAATTAGGTTGTCATACAAGGACTGCATCACTGTCAGAGACAGGACGCTGCCTTGGACGGGCCCTGAGTCTGAGCCGCGTCCGGAGGTCTCGGTGGAGCTGACATCCCATCCTGCTAGATGGCTCGACACCCCCCGATAGATTTCATCCCCGACTTTCTCTGATCTAAAATTACCCTCAGCTCCAGTAAAAAAAGTGACCATGATTCAGAGCCCGGCAAGGCCTCAGGGCCCCTCCCCCCACCTCCCCGGTCTTTTCCAACCTATTTCTGGGTCTAATTTCTTTTAGTACCTGAAGGCTGGAAGCTACAGCCCCACCGTGCTGCTGCAGGACATCATGCTGGCCACCTTCCCCGCACAGCTGGCTGAGCGCCGGGAGCTGCACCAGGCTGAGATGGCAGAGCTCTCTAAGTAAGTGTGGACCTGCTTCTGTGTGTGTGTGTGCACGGGGGCTGAGAGGGGCTCTGAGGGGGCTGTTCAGGCCACATACCATTGCTCTGGCTTGGTTCTGCTCAAGTGATGTCTGTCCCACCTCTAGGACCATGTTACAGCAGTGCTGGGTGGGTGTTGATATGCCCCATGGGGCAGCTGGGGATGAGGGGGCATCTCTGCAAGGAGCTGTTTTGTGAGCAGAGTCTGTCCTTGGGCTCTTGGTGAGCAAAGCGGAAACTTTGGTGTTGCTCTGCCCCGGAGCATCACTTCTTGGGATAAAGGACACATCTGGTTTGGGGGAGGAGGTGATGCGGAGGCCTTGGGAAGGGATTTGCTCAGAGATGTTTCATAGTGTCTCTCTTCCTGTCCCTCAGCCTGACCAAGAACATCCCCATCTTTGTCTGCACGATGTCCTTCCCAGGCATTCCCTGCCCTCTCCATGTCTTCGAGCCTCGCTACCGCCTCATGATCCGGCGGTGCCAGGAGACCGGCACAAGGAGGTTCGGCATGTGTATATATGAGAGTGGGAAAAGGTGAGCTCCTGGACCAGAGGAGGACCTCCTGGCAGAGGCTTCCCTCTGCCCTGGCTGATTTGTCCCTCTCTGCCCCAAAAACAGATGTCTAAAATCCTGAGTAGTTCAGAGAGAAGGACCCAGGTGCAATTTCCTATCCCACTGCATCCCGCAGATAAAATCAGCAGGGAGGTGGTGCAGAGTGAAACGGGATCTCACTGCCTCCCAGCATCACCACCGGCCAGGCAAGGAATGGGGCCAGCGCTGGAGCTGAGCAGAGCCAGCAGTGGCTGTTAATTATGATGTTCTGGGAACAGCCTCTGGCTCAGGACGTCTCTGAGCTGCGTGGTTCCCTGGCCATGTTCTCCTGCTCCTCTTAGCGAGCACTTGAAAATTTCTCACACTCCGTCTTTAACAAGCTGTGAGAGGACACTGGGCTAAATGAGCTTTTGTTTGGTACAGCGTGGCCATCCTTATGTTCCTGGTGGCACCTCCAGATCTTGGTTGGGCTCAGTTTCCAGGCTCCTAACCCAAGTACTCTGTTAAATACCTGTATTTACGTGACGTATCCTCCTTGTGCTCCAGTCCTGTTCAAGTGAAATGATAAATAACAGTTTCTGGGCTTTGGGAGGGTATCTCTGCAAGGGATGGTGTCTTCAGGACTATTGGACGTCAGGGCAGTATGAGGACCTGTCATTTTCATGTATGGCAAATCCAAAGGAGTGCAGGCAGTGTGCTCGCTATTCCCTGTCCTTTTAGCAGCAAGCAGTAACTCAAAGGAGTTGGAGGAATCTCCACATTTGCTCCCTCCCAGCCAGCTCGTTCCTGGGCCTTTTCCTCCTTTGGAGGTGGTGCCTTCAGGAGAAGCAGCCCTCCCACCACAGGTATCCCAGCTCAGCCCTTCTTTTTTCTCTCTGGCTCCCTCCAGTTTTGCTGACTACGGCTGCATGCTGGAGATCCGGCAGATCGAGCTGCTGGCAGACGGGAGGTCCTTGGTGGACACCATCGGCAGGCGGCGGTTCCGGGTGCTGAGCCGGGGACACAGGGACGGCTACAACACTGCCGACATCGAGTACCTGGAGGACAAGAAGGTGAGGGCAGGGTGAGGACAAAAGCCCTCGCTGTGGTGGGACAGAGCTTCCCCATGGACACCTTCTGCATTCCTCTTCCCTCCACGCAGGTGGCCGGGGAGGAGCTGCAGGAGCTGCAGTGCCTACACGAAAACACCTACCGCTTGGCTCAGCGGTTCTGTGAGCACGGAGACCTTGCCTCCAGGCACATTTTGATGCAGCATGGACCACTGCCGGAGAAGGAAGAGGACATTCAGGTAATGCCCCGAGGGAAGGGATGCTCTAGATAGAGAGGGTACCAAGAGAGCCTGGGAAGCAGTGCAGCTCCTGTGCTGACTACCCTACTTTCCTGCTTGGCTTCCCCCACCTAGGATGAGCAAAACAGGCTGGTTTTCACTCCCAGTACCAGTTGTGGCATTTCTCCCTCAAGAGACACGGTAGAGCTTATTATTTCTTAGAAGTGTTTAACATTTCTTTATGCATTTAAACAGTTCTTGGAAACTAAGCGTGAGTTTTAAAAAGTTTTCCTGAAGTCTTTTCCTAAATGACAACTGAGAAACTAAACTGCCTGGATTTGAAAACACTTGGGAGAAAAAGAAACAGGAATAGGCAAAGAAATGAGCCCCACAGCTCAGTGAGTCTGTGGTCCCCTTTCTCATTGTGTTCCTTTGTGACAGCCATAGCTGGCCAGAAGAGAGGAGCTAAGAGGGTAGGATCCAATTTGCTTATTAAATTGCTCGGAAAAATTCAGATTCTGGAGACAGGAAAAAAAAAAAAATCCCCAAATTTATTTTTCACTCCTTTAAGGAAGTGTTTCCTGCCTGGATCATTACAAATACACTCTTGCTGGCTTGTCCCAGGCGAAGGCTGTCCTGGCCAGCAGTCACATCCACGTTGTGCTCAAAATTACACAACGATTCACTCTCCTTCAGCTGAATTGAGCATTTCCCTCTTAGTTTGGCTCAGTTTTTTGAAAAGTCTGTTTACAAAAGCCCTGCCCAGCAGTTGCGCCTGCCTGGCCTGCACCTCTCCTCTTCGAGTGACGATCACCCAAATGCCCCAAAAGACACCAACCTCAGAGGATTTGGCCCGTGTTTACAAAAAGCGTTGCTTTAAACAAGGAAACACACAAGATATTTCTTTGTCTCTTTAGTATAGACTTTTTCCTGGTTACATCAATGTCTGGAGACTCCCTGGGGAACGCTTGTCTGGAAATTAAATGAGTTTATCCAGCAATTTTGAGCCTGGACAGACAAAAGGGCCGTTCAGAAGAATACCTTAGCCGAAGCTGGCATTGCTATCCTGACCAGAGCAACTGTTTCCCGTCAGCGATGCCACCCCAAGGCCACACGTTCACCTTGCTGTTCCTCACCCAGGGGTCTCTCCCTCTCTCCCCTCCAGGCTTCAGCAGACGGCCCGACGTGGTGCTGGTGGCTCATCTCCATCCTGCCCCTGGACCCGTCCTACCAGCTGAACCTCTTCTCCAGCACCTCGCTGCGTGCCCGCCTCACCCAGCTGCAGCGCATCCTCACTGCCCTGCTGCAGCAGCCCCCGCTGCCCGAGCGCAGCCCCCGGGGCCACGTCTGAGCCCCCCTCCACTTAGGGGAGACCCCCCCCCTGCCTTGGGTTTCTCGATGTGTTGCTTTGTGATTTTTGCGTGTGGTTTGGGATGCCCCCCACCCCACCCCCTACAACAAGAGTGACCTCGGCGATGAGCTGAGCACCCTCTGCCTGGCTCGGTGGGGCTGGTGCCACACTTGCAGCGACACTACACCGTCCACACTGCCTTCAGGAGCTGCTGGGTGACATGGCTGTGCCGTGCCACCGGGGAGGGGACCGGGATGGAAAGCTGGGTTGTGGCTCAGGAACCAAAGTCACTTGGTGCTGAGCAGCTTCAGCGCTAGGGAGGATTCTCCTCAGGGCAGAGGACCGAGAACGTTGGTTTTGGTTCTTCTGCTTTGAAGGACAACCTGGGGGATTTTGGTACACGGACCTGCTCCGTGCAGCAGATTTAGAGGCTTGGGAGACTAGGCACCAGAAGGCAGAGAAATCCCAATGGCTTCTCCCAGCCTTGGGAGCTGATGCTCTGCCTCCGCTTATGACTTTGACTTAATTTTGATTAGAACAAGAAGAAAGGTTAAATTAAACAATCTGAAGCTCATGGTCCTGCTCCCAACCACCTCCATGGCCACAGGGCGAGGAGATGCTGCTCTCCAAATGTGCCCAGCTCTGGCTGTCCCCTTCCCACCGCTCTGCTGGGTGCTCTGCCATGTTTGTGGTGCCGAGCTGGCTTCCCCAGGCTGGAGCCGTGCTGGAGGCTGCCAGCCACTTCCCTGGCTGCTGGGGGAAGCAGGGGGGAATTTGGCAGGGTTGGTGCTTTCCCACCCCACCCAAAGGCTGCTGTTCCCAAGCCTGGCCGGGTTCAGGTTGGACCTGGGGGGCTGGAAGGAGCCGATGGCATGAGGGAACTAAGCCTAGAAGTGGTTTTGTGAGACTTTTCTGCTCCTTGACTAGTGCAATTTTCCCGTGTTCAGTATTTTTTGTGAACTTTCTGCCTCCTTGCAGGGGAAAAGCAGGGTCTGAGCTGAGGCCAGATCCTTGCCAGTGGGACCCAGAACAGGTCAGGATCCTCCAAAAGAGCACAGAATGAAGTCAGAGGGCACTGAACCTCTGGAGAGGCGAGGAGAGGGTAAGGCCAGTGACCAAGGCTGTGAGCCCCACGGCAGGGGAGCAAGTGCCTGTCTGCAAGTGCCTGGCTGCTGCTTGTCTCTAAACACAGGGAGAAGACTATCCCCCCCTGGACAAACCACACTTTCCTCCATGGAAGTCCTGAAGGTTTGGGATTTTTGTCTCCCATCCATAATTTCAGTGGCTTTGGGTTGAATTTTAGGAATGACATCCACTTAGTCATTGAATGAACATTGCTTCCAGAATTTTATTCTTGCGTTTCTCTAAGGCTCCCCACCACATCTGGGGGTTGAGTGGGCTGCGTGTGGGAGAGAAAAATCAGGCTGGGGCTACAGTGCTCCTTACTGCACGTGTTGCTGGGTTGAGCCCGGGGCAGGAGGCTCTGGACACAGCTTCGGAGAGGTCCTTGCCCAGGGCCACCGCCTTTCCCTATTCTGCTCTCTCCAGGAGCGAGAGGTCTTGGTCTCTCCTCTCCAGCAAAGTGCCTCCCCAGAGAGACAATCAATCAGGAGGAGTGGAGGGCTTGCTCCCCAGAGACCATAGTGAGCACAGGGTAGGTGAGGACAACTCAAAGCTGAGGACAAACAAGGATTTGCTCCTCTACCTTTGAGCCATGGTGACCCCCACTTTGTTGCTGTCTCTGGGGCACCATGACTCCCCCAAGGGACTGTATCTCCCGGATGTTGGACTGGGGTGTGGGCAGAGGTAGGTGATGGAGGGACACCTTGTAGTCCTGAGGCAGGTGTGTGCAGGTGGCCGGATGCCACTAAAGTTTGGGAAGTGCCTTTCTTTTCACAGCTCACCAGTGACCCCCCCCCCAACCCTGAGCCCCTCATCTACCCCCTGAGTTGCCTGTTCCCCAGGTGTGGGAGCTCCCTGGGCCACTGTGGGTCCCTTCAGCAAGGGGGAGACATGGGAGGGTGTGGGGAAGAAGCGTGTCTGCACCATCTCCACGCTGGGGGAGACCCGGGGACCAGAGGCACATCTGCCTGGCTGCTTTGGGAAAGGACTCGTGAAAATCACTCCGGTTTGCTTGGAGTGCCTTTGGGGTTTGTAGTGGTATCTTTGCTCTTTGAGTTAAATTTTCTTCCTGGTCATTGAAATAAAGACCTTTTTTTTTTTTTTGGTTGTTGTTGTTTCTTTTTGTTGCTGGCATTACCCCTTTAGCTGCTTGTTGATGTGCATGGGCATCACCGGGGAGATCGGGGGATGCGTGGAGAGGTGACACCCTGCTCTTCAGATGGCAAGTTAAAGAGATGCTGTGAACACAGTCCAGCAAAGGTAGGTGGTGATAAGGGGAAAAATATAAAGTGAGCAGATGAAACAAAGCAGAAAGGACTAGCACCTGCTGGTCATTGCAGCTAAGCGAGATGGGTCTGGTAGAGATGCTGACCCTTGTGGGTTGACCCTGGAGGGTGTCTGTCCCTTGAATGCTGGGGAGAGCATCTATCTCTGTCCTGCCTTTGCAACCATGGGCAGAGGGCTGCAAGCGGGCATTGGGCAGCTGGCATTGGGGATGAGTGACAATCTAGGGGGACATGATATGTGGCCTTTAAAATGAGACGGTGTCCCTGTATGGTGAGGGGATGGTCCTCAACCTCGGGTATGGAGATGTCCTGCCAGGATAGCTCTTACCTGTCTGCTGCTCCCACCTCACCTCTTCCCTCTGCCTCCCAAATGTGCCATCCAAAACCAAGGGCAAGAAGGGAACTTCCTCTGCCCAGCTCTGCTTTGCACCATGCCTGGGAAGCTGGAACAACTGTAGGAGAGAGAGAGAGAGGGCTTGAGTGGTCTGAGATGGTGGGTAGCCCTGAAACGGTCCCAGGGTCTTTGCCAGGCCATTACTACCTGGCTCCATGAGAAATTACACCTTGATTTTCACGCCCAGCAGTTCTCTCCAGAAACAGCTGTGCCCTGGGGAAGCCCAGCTGTGTGCTCCTTGGCCGATGCCACCCCCTTTGGTGGCTTTGGCAGCCCAGGCCTTGTTCCTGGCTGGGTGGTTGGTGGGTGTCTGAGTGTCTGGAGCTGGCACTGGATCCCTGTGCCGTGTAGCCCTACTCCCACTAGGTGTCAGGAAGAGGCTGAGTGCGGGCGAGGAGGAAGGCACAGCAGAGGGGATGTGCAGCATCAGCCGCTGCCAGAGCCTTGCCCATGCTTTTCTCATCCCCAGCCCTAAAACCAGCCCCACTCTCAGCCCTGGCCCTGTGCAGCGGGTAGGGCTGGGCTGCTCCAAGCTCTCCATCAGCGCAGAAGTGAGGCTGGGGACCAGGGCAGTGCATCCCTTGAGGCCACATCCTCTTTCCCAGGTGTGCAGTGTTTGTCCTGGGAGATCCTTTCTCCTCTCTGGCCAACAAGGGCTTGTTTTCCCTCTTGGGACTGGAGCAGGGGGCTAGGACAGTTGGGGCTGTCCTTCTCCCCATCCTCCTCCAGCCACCCTGCTAGTCATAGCCTCAGCTCAGAGATGGGAGATGAGGCAACTTCTTGTCTCAGCACACATCTGGGACATAATGGTGTCCCACAACCCCTTGCAAAAGCAGCCCTGGCATCTTGCAGCCCCACTAGGATGACGGGTTGCTTCATGAGCAATTGGGCTCCAGATGGGGGCAGTTGGGAGGGACCTGGCCTCATCCACACTGCCACTCTCCCAACTCTTCCCCAAATGCCTACCTGGGTGAGAGAACCCCAGTATACCCACCATCAGGTGGGTCTGTGGGGTGGGTGTTGTACTCATTACTTGCTTCCACCAAACCATCCCCTCCTGAGATGCTCTTCCCTTCGAGATCTACTTTGGGCAGCATTCAGACCCACGCTGCTATGGCCTGACTCCATCTGTGGGAACACAGAGGACCTGGGGTGGCCAGGAGTGGCTCCTTCCTCAGTTCCGAGGGCTCCTGCTTCATCTTGTTCTCTGTCATGAGCTTGCAGAGAGGCCAGATTTGGTCCTGTCTGGCATGGCTGGGGCTGGCAGCTATGGGCACCTCCAGCATCTCTGTCCCAGGCTCAGTGGTAGCATGGACAGCTGCTTCACCCCCACGTCAGCAGCCAGAGCTGTAGGGAGAAGGGTCCGTCTCTGCATAGGCTCCTCGGAGGCACTTGGGGGTCCAAGGAGAGATGAGCCACTTGAGCCCACAGCACAGGAGCTTCATTCCACCTGCACCACTTCACTTTGCTTTCTGCTGCCTGGATTTGTTTCCTTCCTGTATTTTTCCATTTCCACATGTTCTCCTCCCCTGTGCATCCCAACAATACCTAGTAATGATTTCTGGCCTTTATATAACAGTCGTCATCAGAGCTTTCCAAAAGGACATCTGTATCCTTCTCTGAACTTTACAGGTGGGAACTGGGGATGGGAAGAGACAACATGTTGCCCAGGGTCACCCAACAAGGTCCCTGGTAGTCAGAGGACCACTTTCCAAACCGGTCCCTCTTCCCACCTCTGTGGGATGCTGGGACGTACCCTGCACCTGGATTTTAAATCCCTGGGGAGGTGTAAACCAGGACTAGCACTGGCTCTGCTCCCATCATCCCAAAATGCATCCTCCAGGTCCCCAACCTCCTCTCCAACAGCACCAGTTCCTCCCTTCCAGTTCAGCACCTTCAACTCGAGACGTCAGTGACAACTTCCCTCACCTAATAGTGTGGGCAAGCAATTAGATAAAGAGGCAAGCAATTAATACAGCAGGTGTCAGGGCTGCGCCTCGTCTTTCTTTAACAAATGGCACATTTCCAAACTAATTAGACCGGCCGGTACTTGAGACAGCGGAAAATCAACATGAGATTGTTCGAGCTAAGATCTTCTTCTCCAGCAAGGCCACGCTTGTGCTGGCAGAGGAGCACAGTACATGTTAAGGTTCATGAAGGTGGGAGGAAAAAGGAGAAAACCACCACCTAATTTTTTCCCATCCTTTAGCAATACCAGTTGGTGCGATGAAAGATGGATTGTATTGTTCCTGCTTTTTCAAAAAAAAAATATAAAGGAAAGCAATGAAGACAGATGTGCCATCTCTTTCAAGAAAACTCACCCACGGGATGTACTCAAAGATGGAAAATGACAAGTGATGAAAAAAAGTGACTCAGCCACTGCTGGAGCAGGTGGAGTGGGACCTGTCTGTCCCCCTGAAGAAACGGCTCCATCGCTTCCTCCGTCCAGACTGGTGTGAAATCAGCCTCTGTCCTGTACGGAGCAGAGTAGGGTGATTGCGGGCATGTGCTGAAGGCAACCCTTGAGCAGAGATCAAGCAGCAGGTGGACAAATGTCTTTGCCTCCTGTTTGGTGACATTTTGGAGGTGCCTTGCTAGCACATCCCCAGGCTGTGCTGCACACAGGAGCTGTGCAAAGCCAAGCTCTGATCCAAGCAGGAGCTGGAGACCTGGGAAGATACATCAGGCGGAGCTGACTCAGCATGACTATGGGTCATTTACACCTTTAGTAAACAGATTTATCAGGACACGCTTTTCCTACAGGCTTTGTAAAACCCATTTGGGCCCATCACACCAGCAATACCACCAACCTGCAGCTGGGACCCCTGGATCTGGGGCAGCCACATGGGGCTGTCTCTCAGCCCTCCCACACCGCCTGATCCACAGCCACCTTTCGGACCCCCTGGGAGCACCCGGAGGAAGAATTAACTCCCTCAGTATGTGACAGTGCCCAGTCCCACAACAGTGACACGCCTGAGGCTGAGTATGGGGCAGGGGGTGCAGGATTACCCCCAGCATCTCTCTGTCTCCAGACCCTGCCATGGCATGGTCCAGGCAGGACCATGTCCCTGAATGACAGTAACACAGAGAGCCCATCAGTGATGCTAAAAGCTCTCTTGGGGGCTATCAAAGTCTTAATGAACACCAATTAGCGTCAGTCCAGCTGGTTAGGATTGTAGGAGTCAGAGCTGGCAGCTGGGAATGGGGAGATGTTTGCAGCAGATGGTGGGAGCGACGGGCACTGCCCTCTCCATGAGGTCTCCCTCAGCGTAGAGCACCACCACCCAACCAAACAAACCCCAGCAATGCAAGCCATCACCAGCACTTGTTTGGAGCATGTTAGCTTGTGGAGAAAGGGAGATTACACAGGGTCATACATATATATATATATATATATATATATATGTATATACACGCTGGCCCCTTGCCTGAGTCTCTGCCTACAACCCATGTCCCCCAAAACCACCTTTAACCACCTTTCGGTGATTCGGTCTCTCCCTGCCCCTTCCCCCTCTGTTGGTTTCTGATTTCACGAAACCGTTTCAGCCCAGGCAAAATATTTACAGGACTGATTAAACATCCAGGAAATGGGAAACCTGTTAAAAGTGTGGAACTTATATAAATAGAGCATTATTAAAATAAAATGTGACTTTTAGCAAGGACAGCTTTCTCAGCTGTGCTGTGTTTACCTTAATTGTTTCCCTCCATTAATTACAGTCTGAGAGGGAGACTTGTGCAAATTGAAATAAATTAATCGAATTTGTTTAGAGTTTTGTGTGGCTGGCTTATGGGGATTGCAATTAAGCCGGTATGTTTGGGGTATTAAATTACATTGCCTAGATCTGTTCTTCCCTTTTCAAGCACCAGGAACGTGAAAAGGCAGGAGTCAGCGACAATTAGAAGGTAAACAGGGAGCACGAGCAACCGTTATTTCAGTTCCTCTGCCTCAGGAATTTCACTCCTTGCAAGTATTAAGGCTCATTCCTTAATAAATGCAGCTCGGCTCTGTGTGAGGAAAGAGAAAGGGGAGATGGTGGAGTGGAGACCAGGGCATACCTCAGCTCTGCCCCGGCAGTGGGAACAGCGATGTGGGTGGGAGTTGAGTCTGATTCTCCAGGAAAATTAGGCTACGTGACTCAGCAGCCTGGCGTGTGGTCTTGTTGGTTCCTGCTAGCAGCTGCCCAGTACCACCCACGTCTGACACAGGGGAAGAGGCTTCCAGATAGATCGAGGTCCTGATGAGGTCTGTGAAAACAGGCAATGAAATAGAGAAATGCATCTGCCAATAGGGAGGGGAAGGGGATGCTCAATCACTAGAGAATCTACACCACGGTCTTTTTTCCCAGATAGGTATTTAAGAGGAAACCTGGCTTCACTGGTGCTGCCCGTGAGCTCCGATGCTGTCCCAA